TTGAGTGATATTTTAAGATGGAGTTTGCTAGGCAGTTTAAGGGCATTCTAGGCAGCTAAAACAGCTGGTATAAAAACCCAGATTTGTGAAAAAAAATTGTTTGGAGAATGGTGAGAAGTTGGTGTGGCTTAAGTAAAGGAAAAATGGAGAAAATAGCAGAGACTGAGCTTGGTGAGAAAAGCTGTTCGGGTATTGATTTAGCTGCTTTAACAGAGACCAAAATGATTGGAACTATTGCCTCAATAAGGGAGCCATGTATTTCTTTCTTTCTTGAAGTCCACGTGGAAGGCATTTCAGGAACACTCTCACCGCCAGAGTGTCCCAGGCTGCCAGGGTTGCTCTGTTCATCCCCTGGGCATTGATTGCCTTTTCGAATTTGGCCCAGCCACATCTTGGGGGTTGCATTACCAAAAGGAAGAGGCAAAGAATGGATACTGGGAAATAATCAGTAGCCTCTGCATTAGGAAGGTACAGGCTGAATCATGAAGCACTTTATGGGGAGCTGGGAGACTTTTAAAGCAGAGCAATACTGTAATTAAGAAAGTGCCTTTCCAAAGATGGCGTCAGCCCCAACATGACTGGCGACTATGGGACTATTACAGTAACTGGGCAAGGAGGAGATGCTAAGGCCTGTCTCCCCTGATTGTTCAAGCACCTGGCCTCTTGGTGGCTTGATTGACTGGGGGTCAGTGGGGGTTTTTGCTATTGTTGCTGCAGATTTGCCTGAAGCCATGGACATGCTGGGCTTTGGGTTTGATCAGGAAATTGATGCCTTTCATTTGAGACTTATCTGAGAACACATTTTTATAGCTTGTTACTAATATGAATTGAAGTGGGGGAGAAATGATGACCACAGCGAGCATAAAGCGTTCCTCTCCTCCAGGATGGACCAGCCATCTCCTTTCTCAGCAGGGGCTTGGATCTGCTCCAAGAAAGGGGGCAGGGCTCCTGCTCAGGCCACTGACCCTCCATGGTTCTACAGACAAATTATTTCAATTCTTGGTTCCACTTCTTTTGCTTTACAAGAGAAAATCATCCTGACACTTTCTAATTAGTCATTTTTTAATTGAACATGCCTGCTCTGTGTATGAAGTCTTCCACCTGTTTAGAACAATTAGGCATCCTGATGATGATAACCTGGGAATTCTCCTGCACTTAAGTGCACCCTTCTGGGAGATGGGCAGCAGGTGGCAGAGGGAAGAGCGTAGCTTTCAGTTGGACAGCTGAGCTGCTCATACTGGATCAGCCTCCTAGCTGCATGACCTTGAGTAATAAGATACCTCACAGCCCCTGTGCATCTCAGTTTCTTCATCTGTAAAGCAAGCAAATAATACCTGTGTCCCAGGTTGCCAGAAGGGTCAGAGAATGCTCAGGCTTGATGTTTGGCCTGGTGAAAACATTCCTGAAGGCTCTTATATGACGTTTACCTGATGTCAGGTATCTTCTCCATGAGGCAAACATGATGTCCACTTCCACAGGGAGTCCCTGGGGCCTCTGCCTCTGCAGGCAAGGTCAGGGAGAGCTTCATGGCCATCTCCCTAATTCTGTCCTATGCCCTAATTCTCAGGACCTTCCAAGCATCTGAAGACTTGCTGGTGTTTATGAGACTGGTCATGTTATGGGAAAATCAAATACAGAGTTTTTTAAAAAGGCATTTTGGCACAGCCTTACCTTTTGATGCTTTATCTCACTGGTCATCATATGCTGTAAGGAAAATGATATGTCTTGGGCATAAGGACCCACTCTATAAATAGGTTGACCTTCAGCCCTGGAAACGTGGAAGGACAGGTCAACTCTAGCTTTTGAGCAGCCGAAGGCATACTCACAGGGAAACACTATTCTTAGAATTCTTAGAAGGGATTTTTTTTTTTCCTGGAGTCTTTGCCTTCCTTACTGAATAGCATTGACACCAGAAGATTCCAGCCTGCTGTGTGGGTGTGTCATGTGGGGGAATGTGTTGGTTCCTTGCCTGTTCTCATAGGGACAGGCTGGCACTGTCTTTTGTGGAGCTTCTATGGAATGATGGTTTGATCACATCCACATTTAGGCAAGAGATGCCGTTCTCTGTTTGGCCCCCTGTTCCCTCAGTCACATGGTAGCATTTTATAGCTGTGAGACTTTCCCCAGATTTAGGCTTTATGGGAACTTACTCTTTACTAGATAGTGAGAAGAGGAAATATTTGCTGATTGTGGGCCCACCTTGAACCTTCTGGATGGTGTTTTGTTGCTAGTGAAAGATGAGAAGAAATAGGAGAAAACTCTCTTGAGCTTAGACTGCTACTAGGGGAGGACATAGCTTCTGATCACAGCAGACCATTGCAAAGTGACACAGCAGGTCTGGTCTGGGTTTTCCTGGCTGAAATGCCAAGTGTGCTTGCTGTGTCGTATCCCACATTAGGCAGAAAAGTTTCAGCGTTCAGGTTCAGATGTAGTCCCCCCACCTGGACTGAACTCCTTCCCTAAAGCTCCATGTAAAATTCTGAAATGTCCTCACTTTCTAATTATTAATTCTTTCCTTAGCCTTTTGAAAAACCATGTTTACTTCCGAAATGGAAATATTCTCCATGAAGCTTTGCATGTTGCATTGAGTGACAAAGGCTGGTGTGGGGTGGTGGAAAGCTACAGGAGGGATGGGTGCTGACAGTGTTTTCAGTGGGTTCTTGCTCAAAGGGTGATAATTTATGACTGTACACTCTCTTTTCCCACGATTCCATGTTTTTCGCCTGTTGAATAGCTTACCAATTAAACACAAAGGAGACAGAGATTTTGGTAAGTCTCTGGCATTGCTGGCCTTCTAGTCACAGGTGTCTCACATTCTGCCTGAGTGAGCAGCTCCTTTGCAGTTACTGCCTTGAAACCTTCTTGGCCTTGGCTCAAGTAGGGAGAGCAGGGAATGAACTGGTCCTTCTTGCTGTTCCTGCTTTGGTTCTGCAGTGAATCCCTGCTCCAGGCCTTCCTGTTCTCTCTGACAGCTACCTCCCAGCGGCGATCTAGTCCCATTGTACGCACCACTTATTTCCTGTGTGCACACATGCATGTGCCCATGTACTTTTGTGTGTGTGTGTGTGTGTGTGTGTGTGTGTGTGTGTGTGTGTGTGTGTGTGTGTGTGTGTATGTAGGGCTGGGCCTTCCTCCTTGAATTTGATCCTACTTTCCATGTTTTAGGAATACTTCATGATTTTGGTCCGTCCCCAGCACCCCTACCTTATTTTCCCATGCTGTTTTATTGATAAAGAATGTGTTTTTGTCCCCTGCCTTTCCTAACACTTTGGAGAGGGATGGAGGCTGAAGTATATGCTTAGTCCTCCACCTTGATCCAGGTTCTCACTTTTGTTTACTGCTTGAAGGCAAGGATATGATGGTACAGCAACTTTGTTAAGAATTGACTCCCAGTAGTATTCTTATCTTTTGGTTGTTTTTTTTTTAAAATTGAAGATTGATTTCTAGAATGGAAGACCAAGCTAACCCTCTTCTCTTGCCCAGCTGTGTGTGCCACAGGTGATTGGCTTACTTATGGGTTGACAAGACCACCGTGGTTCCCAAAAACCATTTCCCATCCTAGGTCTTAGATGCCTTATGTGAAATGAGCTGATTTGGTGAATAATATCAGAATTAGCTGATAGATAATTATCACCAACCCATGAGTATTCATTTAATTCCTTCTCTGTATTTCTCCTTTGGTAAGTAAGTGCTGAGGTAGAGAAGTAGAGTACAATAGTCCATGTCTTGGTTATATTTGCTGTGTTGTTGATTTAATTAAAAGGCCTGAATTGATGTGCTTTGCATGAGTTGATTCTTCATCATAGGCTTTATTGTGGACCCCTGAGCACAGCCTTGACCAGGTCTTGTGGGTATAGGTGGTGAGTTGAAAACAACTGTGGTTGGAAGTTTGTTATCTCTCAGCAAGATGAATTGGATACTGAAATACCCATAAGACAGAACTTAAACAACGTAGAAACAGAGGCTCTGACAAAAATGCTGTGTGAATATAGAAAGGGGAAGAGAGATTAATTCTGTTTGGAGTGCTTGAAACACCAGCATGTCAGAGAAGAGGTGATATTCAAGCTGTGCCTTGAAGAATGGACACCTCTTGGTGTAATTGTTGGATCCCCACAGGAATACAAGTGTTGCAGGGGCAGGTCCATGACTGTTGTGTTCACCATTGTGTTTCCTATTCCTCTAGTACTCAAGATAGGAACGGATGAGCTGGGCTCGGTGGCTCAGCCTGTAATCCCGCGCCTTTGGGAGGCTGAGGTGAGTGGATTGCCTGAGCCCGCGGGTTCGAGACCCGCCTGGGCAGGCGAGACCTCATCTCTACAATAAATCAAAAAATCAACCGGGCGTGGTAGCGCATACCTATAATCCTAGCTACTTGGAAGGCTGAGGCGGAAGGATCGCCGGAGCCCAGCAGGTCGAGGCTGAGGTGGCTGGGAGCGGCCACTGCACTCCAGTCTGGGCGACAGAGTGAGACTCCAACTCAAAAAAAAAAAAAAGATAGGGATGGATGGATGAATGGAAGGAAGTGTGGATGAATGAAAAGATGAATGAATAAATGAAATAAAGGCAAAATTCTAAGTGAGAATAGTTTGAATAGTAAAAGAGTGACAGGGATAAGTAAGGCATATTGGTGAAATTGTAACCAGTTTAGCTTACATGTAGAATGCTCAAGAGAAAATGGCCAGAGAAAGGGTTGGAGGAAAGGCTTCGTACAGATGATGAAGGCTCAAGAATTTTGGCTTTCCCTCCCAAATAGTGTGCCCTAAATAACAGGAACTATTTTGGATAGGTCTTGTCAGGAACATACCTAATTCTAAGTTTTGAGAGTAGAGTTTAAGTTGGAAAAAGGCTTCTGATATGGCCTCGACTGGCTTCTCCGTGCTATAGATAAATAACCGAAGATGTCTGCTGCCTAAACTAAACCAAGCCACAAATTTAGTTAACTAGTCACAGCATGACCATAACCGGTTCCGGGCTCTCATTTCTTGGTTGCTTCTCTTTAGATGTGTGCAACAGCACCGATCTTCCGGAAGTTGAGATCATTAGCCTCCTGGAGGAGCAGCTGCCCCATTATAAGTTAAGAGCCGACACCATCTACGGTTATGACCACGACGACTGGCTTCATACACCTCTCATTTCTCCAGATGCCAACATTGACCTTACAACTGAGCAAATTGAAGAGACGCTGAAATACTTTCGTAAGTGGTTACCCTTTCATGTTGCAACAGCATTATGATTGCCAGTCCTTCTTAGCCATGACCCCAAATGACGTCTTGTACTGGTCACCATGTATTGTGGCCTGCCATCTCTGGAATGGTAGTCACAGAGATGTGGTGAGCCACATAAAAGGTCTCAATTTTAAATGTTCTGAACAGAAATTTTAGAATTGTGGGGACTATGTAAGAATTTAATTTGAACCAACTTTTTTTAACCATTCAGAAGAATTTGAAAAATTCCCATTTCTCCTTTTAACCAAAAGTATCATGTGACACCTTAGAAACTCTTATTGGGAAGGAGCTTGTCTGCATTTAAAACCAATGGTATTGGGAACATCTAGGCAGCTCATTTATGTGACATAGCAAGACATGAGTACCAAGATAGATGACTCTTGGATGAAAGCTCACTTAGCTGGTTATTTGAGAAAGTCAAAATTTCGCTGCAGCAGCAAAGCAGTCATGCTGATGGGCTGTAGAGCTGATACCTGTTAGAGTGAGCAGCATACTTTTTTATTTCAGTATCCTGATGACAAGGGTCTGTGACTTGATATTACAGGTTTGAAAAAAATGATAATTAAAAAAAAATTAATACTTGATGCTTCTGATGTTTGTTTAAAAGATACCTTCTTAGAAGCAACTTCACTCTTTAAATATTAATTGTGGGGCCGGGCTTGGTGTCTTAACCTGGAATCCCATCACTTTAGGAGGCCGAGGTGAGTGGATTGGCTATGCCTGTGGGCTCAAGTCCAGCCCAGGCAACTTGGCGAGACCTTGTCTCTACAATAAATAAAATATTAGCTGGGCGTAGTAGAGTGTGCCTGTAGTTCCAGCTACATGGAAGGCTGAGGTAGAAGGATCATTGGAGCCCAGCAGATCGATGCTGGAGTGGCTATGAGTGTGCCACTATACTCTAGCCTGGGTGACAGAATGAGACTCCAACTCATAAATAAATAAATAAAAATTCATGGTAGCCAATCATTTCTATAGCTGTGTATCATTGTGGCACTTAAAAAAAAAGTACAACAATTTTTTAAAGTGGAGATTACGGTTTAAAACCAATTTTTACTGCATCTAAAGGTTTTCTGTAATTATTTTTACTAATACAGACTGATCTGTTCAACTGTCTTGAATTTGTGGGATCATTTATAAAAAGCATATTGGAAATATAAGTTTCTTCTTTAGTGTACACCTGGGGCTGTTTTCAGTTTCTCTCTATTAGATATTAATAAGAAAAGAATTTTATTTAAATTGGCTTGTGTTTTTATACGTGATGCAAACCCTACAGTATCTTTGTGAACACTGCAGAAATTCAGTTTCAATAGGAATAATACTAGAATAATCCACATCAGGGTGGATGTGAAGCATGTTAGACTTGTGCTAATGTTAAAGTTGAAGCTTTGGAACACGTGGTATGTCTTGTAGTGTAAAGGAAGCTCTTTACCGGTCGTTTTTATGTCCACCAAGGAGATTTGGTATTGTATGGAAACCCAAGTTTGGAGTAACCTCCTTGGTAGGTATTATATTTGCTTCCTTCAGACTGGAGAAGTCTATGATAAAGTTAACAGGATAGTTGAATTTATAACAGAATTTTTTTTTTTTTTTTTTTTTTTTTTT